GAAGTGTTTGGCTGGCCTATGGTTGGCTGATTTTTAAAACTGGCAGTGATGTTCATGAGGTGAACTTCGAGGAGAGAAATGAGGAAACTCTCATCCATTTCTGGAAAATCATCAGGAAGAACAGAAACTGTGAGATTTGCAACCTCATCACCTTCCAGCATCATGGCCCACTGTCTTGTCACGGGCTCGTAGTCGCTGCCGGCCACAGCCTGACCACTAAACAGAGACACCACCCTGGTCATGTTTTTCCTGTAGGTCCGGAAGTCTGAACTGTTGACAGTTGGGCTGATCCACAATGTCATCCAAAAGCACTGTGGACCCTCGGCAGTGCTGAAAAAGGAAAAGGCCGAGCAGGCCTCCTGTCAGAGGCACAAAGTGGCACAGGTATACTGGGGCTCCCCGACAGCCGAGACATTCACCCAAGTCCTCCAAAGTGGGTCAGGAAGCCCTCGAACTGGCAACTCATAGTAGGACAGTACATTCTGACCTTCCTCCACTGCGAGGCCCACTGCGTCAATGTCAGAAGTACTGTAGAGCAACAGCAGCTGGCCAAAGTGCCCTCCGCTAAAGGTGGAGGGAATTAAAACACAGTTAAGCACTCAAAGCCATGCGTAGATTGCGTGCAGAGCACAGCAGTGCTGACTGTGGTTGAAGTACTAGTAAACCACAACCATGTTGCTTAATTACCTCTGGTTCTTAACATTGTATCTTTTTCTCATGTAAAGGAATCTTGTCAGTTTTCAATCAAATAATGCTTATTTTTAATCAAGCTAAGAAAACATCCTGCAAGGTATGTAAATGGCATCCATTCCAGAACTTCCAAACAGAATTTCAAAAATAATTTTATTGCTAAATTTCATGGAAACAAAGCAGTATCGACCATATTATGAGTACATTTATAGGAAGCATAGTTACTTGTCACAAGATCCCTCAACCTCTGTATTTTCTGTTTCTGAAGGAGCTCAGTGAGCGCTATGGTGGCTCACAAGAAAAAGCGAACCTGGAAAATGAACCTTGTCATGTGACAAGTGAGTGTTCCTTAACTTAGATGCCAGAGGTATTTAGATTCTAACAGACTGCAGATTGAAGCAGTAAACTTTTAGAGTGAGGAAGCCTAATGATGTGTAACCTGTTAGCCATTTCACTAGCAATGGGCCTGGCACACGTGATAGGCTTTTCCATGAATAAATGTAACTCAATACACTGTACTAACACACAAAATAAGTTATGATATAGAAAAACCACCAAATCTAAATCATGTAGTAGTAGAAGGATTCTTGCTACCACCCACAATTCCCCCCACTCCCACAGGTACGCACAGCTGTCTCATGTACCTTCGCCTGACAGTTATGTTAGCACAGGAACTTCTCTCCAAGGGCTCTTGGACACGATAAACCGACTGGACAAAGGCTACCATACCGTAAGGCTAGTCATTGGCAGGGATAATAATACTTGCCACTCGATCTAACCCAACAGTACCTCCACCTGAGGCATCAGTTAGCTGCACTTGAATAACCTAAAAATACAGTGAAAACTTCCTTAACAGCATCCCAGTTCTGAAATCAGAGTAAGAATCATGCAGGAAACTAATCAAACATATCCATACATGAACAAGAACAAAATGGAACAAAATATAAATAGACTCAAAAATCTCCCCCAATTACTTTTACAAACCCACCATGTAACAGAAAAATCCACCATCAGCGTTTCATAATAGAGCATGGCTTATGCATGAGAAATACAGGCTGTTTAAATTCCTTAATGTCCAATTATATAATCATATAAATCAATTTTAAGATCCCTGTTTATGTTCATCATTTCAATAATATGAATTTTATATCCTATACCTTTTAAATCTAA